GAGATCCTTCTCATTAGCCGCTGTCCCAATCATTTCCAAATGCTTAGCCCAATAGCGGCAAGCGTAAGATAAAATCCCATCGACGTTAAGCGAGAGTAAAGAAGCAGAAAGAAGAGCTTCCCCGCCAGACATGTTGTGGTGTAGACGGACACTCATATGGCGAATAAGGCGATGCGTGATATGAAGATGCGACGACGAACCGCCGCCCACTGTCTTGACTCCCAGTTTCACGTACTCCTGGAACGACGAATGGTGAATGTGCACCTTCTCCGATTCAGTTTCGAGCACAGTCTTAGGAAAACTGTTGAAAAAGGTGCTCAGCTGCTCAGCTGGAACTTCGACCAAGGTGGCCAGGTCCGTTACACTGAGAGAATTCCTTCCAAGGGCGACTATTACCAAGGCCGCGCGCAGACCTCTCGCCAGAATTTCCTCTTTCCTTCCCTCCTTCATTATTGGAATCGGCTTTGGCCAGCGCATTTGTTATGTGCGTATCATAAGTTGAATCCATGTGGCGGGCCATAAGACGGCCAAGTGTATCCCGCTGCGTTTCTTGGCTGTCCAACGGGGAAAGATCTTCGTTCGTGCATGCTGTGTAAGCAATCAAGAACGAGCAATTGGCGCCATCCATATAATCCATCAACGAAATGATGCTTTTTAGACTGAAGTTTCTGGCTTGCAGCTCTACGGAGAAGAGAAGTCGCAGATCATGGCGCAAGTTCTGGGGTTCGACATCGTCGAGTGAGAAACGTCGACATGCCACGGAGATGATGCCTTGAAAGATTTCGGAGCCGGAACGACAACATACAAGAACCTTCAACGTGGGTACTTCGGCGACGTTTTGAAGTAGAGCGTCGACTATCTCTAGCACATCATCAGATTCTTTACACTCGTCTAACCCGTCGATGACAAGTAGCGTCACTCCAGATAGCTTCGTCAAAGAGTGTATTAACAGATCCTTGAACTGCTTTCCTGGACGGCCATATATAGAACATTGCTGCCTCGGCACACCCTTCAGAATAGCGAATACGTCCTGGCGATGAGCAAGCTGGGCAGCAAGAGTAGGGAAGATGAAGTTCGAGTTGCTAGCGTCTTCGCGCAAAGACGTACAGAAGAATCCGGCAAAGCGAATATCAGGGTCCTTCTGTAAAATATGGGAAATGGAGACTGCTATGGCTGTCTTTCCGGATCCAGGGCTTCCCGAAAGACAGAAAATTTGTGGTGAATCTTTGGCGTCGGCCCTCGCCCAGTCTTCGATCTGCTCAAGAACGTCCAATCTTGTTCCGGCATGGCACGGTCGCAAACTACGGGGGAGGCTATCGAGTACAGCATTTGGGGCTTTCAAGAGGCTTGTGAGGATCCCTGGGTCGTCGTTAGCAGGCGAACGATAAATCGGACAAGGTTAGAAATACATTGTTGCTGCAAGTCCTGAAGATCGAGACGTATGAGTTAGACCAGCGGACGTTTCGAGAATAAAAATCTAACGAAACTCACATCTACTTTTGGAACTAATTCCTGGAGCAAAAGTGAGATAGAGATCAAGAATACGCAGAATAACTTACGTGCATGTCGAATGAAATATCCTGGAAAAGGCTGCGTAAGAGAATGAACAGTTGTTCTTAAGGCAACTCACCCCGATTTGTTTCATTGTTTGAAGGTGTAACTGCATCTACTCCGAGATTAGTAAGTCGGGCTTTCATAAGGAGTAGAAAATGCTTTTGAAGTACCACTATGTCGTTGAAAATGTCGTTGATCTTCTTCGTCAAAGCTACTATTTCTTTTGCAGTCGAAGCTGCGGAGAGCAGTTTCGAGAGTGTTGATGAATTTCTGTAAGTGAGCAATCTGTTCATTGAAACGTGCTATATCCCTAGAAAGATTTTAAGGACTTTAGGAGAGGTTGGAGGGACCAATCAAATGACTTACGGCTTGCAAAGTAACGGTCAGAAGTTTGGTGAAGTTTGCGGGTAGTAAAGAGCGATTTTCCTCATAAGGCTGTATGAGTTCGGCTAGTTTTTCGAGCCTATCGAGCAAATAACCAAGATCTTCATCGTTGTCGCAGCGTTTCTACAATCAAGTTGAGAGCGCAGCTGAATGATCATGATGAACCATACCTCGTATTGGTCGGCCAAAAATTGAAGTCCACCAACCAACGTAATCATACCAGTGAATGGAACGTCAGATGCGACAATTCCCAAAACCTTCAAAATCACTTGAGCTTTTTCGGTTATATTGAGAGTTTTTGATTTTGGTCGTTCAGAAGGATGCTCAGGAGTAGAATTGGGCGCAGGGTCATCACGAGCATTATCTAGTTCGAGAATCAGCTCTGGCGCTGAACGAGGCATGGAAATGTTCACCTTCAGTGGCGATTGCGGTAGTCTTGGTACTGGAAAAAAGTCCTTCACCCGTGACAGTCCTCAAGACTTTCAAAGCCTTTTCTCCGATGGTAGTCTGCAATTTCGGTGGTAACGGAGGACGTTGTAGCACTTCTTGCGCGTCATTGGGAGCTTTATCTGTTCGAGAATCAGATACCGCTGATACGTACCAGACAACAAGAAAAACGCACCTTCAGCAACAGTAGTAAAGCTAGATTTCCGAGTGGTCCAGCTGAATAATGATGCCAAAGTAGCACGAAATCCAGAGACAATCGGCATGGGTGTTTGTCAGTAGAGCGCGTGAGGAGCCAAGTCAAGCAGTATTTATAGCGAGGAGCCCAGGTTCTCGCATTGCCAAATCAAAGAAGTTTCTTTTTGTTGCTGTAGAATTCGATCGAGTCGAAGCGTAAAAGTCTAATAAGCGCTGCGGTTACGCGCTATCGTTGGATTCCACATCGCCAAATCCACGTCGTAAATCACGTCTTAATCCGTGATATCCATGAATATGCAATCCGAGTCAACGATGCAAATACTGTCACTAGTAGACTGAAAATTGACCAAGCACTGCACAACCTAAACCTATGCAAATGACCAGCATGAGCGAAGGTCTTCTTAAGCGATGCCCACTGACTCACCTCGAGGTTTTGAGGTAATAGCGTAAATTGACGTGAAAGACGACGCTAAGCTCACGCCTCAGTGCTCGCTGCTTCCGAGCGCGTCGAGAAAGTCGAGAACATATTCATCGAAGTCGTGCACTGGCGCCCAAGAACAAGCAATAGTTGAGTAAATGGTATTGCGGATTGTAATTCGAGGCTCCAAGGAATTCTAGAATATTTAATGCAAATCCTAATAGGAAGCTTAAGGAGCTGTGAACCTGCCATGGTCAAATGGTTGGCGTTCGCAGAGTCAACCTACATGAAAAGTTCCAGTTAGAAAGTGGTTTGTTAGATCTCACGTATCGTACCTTTGAGATTAACATCATTGAGGAGAGATCTGTCTTTTCTGTACATATATCCCAGGCACTGGCGACAGGTTCAAAAGTTGTTCTGGTCAAAGCGCGACAGGCGCTAGCGTAAACGCTCATTGAACCCGAACCTGCCCTTAACGAAGCCCATGCGTTTCCCGAACACTATAAAAACCTTACCTCCTCATTTGGAATCCTCACCACTCTGGCCTTTTGGCTTAGATCAAGTGTAGTATCTGTTCTTAATAGTTTAACCACTATTACGAGGGCACCGCCCTCCGTATTTGGTTATCTAATTTTTGCCGCCCCTGTTCTTCGTGCTCTGCTTGCAACACGGGGACGCGATGACCTTGCTACTGCAGTACCGGCTTGTGTCGTCGGGGGATCTCTTTCCTTTCTTTTTGATTGCATCTTGGCGACGCTGTCTCTTGACGGTTAGCAGGTGGAAACAAAATGGATTCAAGGAAATTTTATTAATCTTTGGGATGTTCCGCTTTCGAGCGACTGCGTTAGAATTTCTCCATTAATAACTTACATGTACTATTGTGGTTATTGCAAAGCAATATATATTGGTCGAAGCTGTTGATATTATGCCCCTTTCTGTACTGGGAAGGCGAACCTGTAAATAGTGCTTTTGTGTCCGAATCAAGTCCGAATGCTTTTTCGCTTATCTTGTATTGTGCATACTATGGTACGCAGGGATATGCTTCCGATGCAGTTGGGGCACAATGAAAGAAGCGATTAAAATTCTGAGTAGACAGATCGTTTTGGCCTACTTTAAAACCCCCAAATTGAGCTTCCTAGATTTTTTACGATTTTCCTCGTTGCGTCGGGCGCTGCCCGAGCAAAAACAAGGATATGCTGTTTTTTGATGGCTGTAGTCACCGTCCTGTCACGTAGCGGCAGAACCGGCAGTCTCACAGAACCGCCGATGACGCGCTCAGAATCGATGACGTTGTCAAAATCGGATTGTGTTGGTCAGTGCCGAGCGGAACGGCACAGTCGATTGTCACGCTTGAGCTCTCTCTTTACCGGTTCCTCTCTCCATCATGCTATTCTTCATATTTCCCTTAGAAATTTTAGATCTGACCTCTTATGATACTCACTTGGGCGTGTAGCACTTCACCCGCACTTTTGTAATTCATTTTCTTGTGTTCCTGACTGTTTGATGGGTGTATGCAACTCTCTCCGCTCAATGTTTCTTTTAGTGTACTCATTTGTCTCAAGTATACCTTCCACAAAGTATCTGGCACTGACGAATACAACGTAAAGATGTTGTAAAATAATTGCAAAAGCTGCCCGATTACAGAGACTGCCTTGATCGAGCATTTTATGTAAAAAAGCATATCCCTGTCCGCAGCATATCCCTGCGTACCATAGTAAGGGCTGTTCAATTCCACTCGCACTCGCTCCAAAATTCGCGAACGAGAATGGTAACGAAGCCGATCAGACGCGTTTGCCGTAAAAAATGCACTGGCGCTCGTCAAGCGCTTACAAGAAAGGCAAATCGGCTAGAGATTACTTGATTACCATCTCTGGGCATTACCATTTGGCAACGAGTGTCCCTCACGAATTTTCTCGCGAGTGGAATTGAACAGCCCTATTGTCCATTTTTGACAATGTTCATATCTTTCTGATTTACCAATGTGCTGTTCTGTCTTTGTTATGGGCACATGGTGTAGTTGGTTATCACATCCGCTTAGCATCATCTGGGTTCACACAAAAATGTTATGCGGGGGGTGCTGGGTTCAATTCCCAGTGTGTCCATGCTTGCGAATCAATTGAATTACAGCTTTTTCTTTTATTTAATCTCGGTACCCATCTTAATCTCCAATAACTAACACTGTAACCACACAGTTATCAAATATTTGGCAGCAAGCTTCTACCAACTAGAGCAAAGATTTGGATGACAACCTCTCGCTGATATGTAAGACTCCATAAAACATTTCGTGTTTCCTTTCTTTACTGTGAACGAATGCACCGCTTTTAAGTAGATAGCTGTATCGCATCAAGTTTCAAATATGGGTCCGGGTGGGTCGGAGATACGTATGTACATATGTATATATATGTTGTAGGCGTAGTAGGAGAGGATGTAGGATACATACAGGATAGAGAGAGAGAGAGAGAAGGTGAGGTTGGATGAAAAGGGATCTACTAAGTATGTACTTGTGCGTGTATGAGTGGGTGAGTGCGGTGCGGTGCGTACGGATGATGATGATGTGCATTATTGAGAGGAGCGAAACATGAAGAAGGGGACATGAGGTTATCATTATTTATGCATGGATGCTACGAATGGAGGAATGAGGCGGAGGAAGAATGAAGGATGCAGGAGTAGTAGAAGTAATCAGTTAGTAGATTAAATGGAGCAGAATCATATTGAATGGCATATTTCGACTGCGGAGCAGTCAGCCCGAGTTCAAACGCGACACAAAAAAAGAGCTTACCGAGCACCGCTACCGGATAAGCTTCCCATAGTCCAACCGACTATCCCGCTCTCTTTCGCTCGACTCCTTTTTCGGAAAAGCATTCCAGAACCGTAAAGTCTCATCACCCGCACCAGTGACGATAGTCTCGCCATCGGGACTCATGGCCAGGTACAAGACACGGTTGGTATGTCCCGTTAACGAAGCGACCATATCGAGAGTCGGGTATTTCCAGATGCATATTTGGTTTTGGGCAGTGGTGGAGGAGAAGCCGTGCGTGGAGACGAGTTCGTGTGATGTCAATGACCAGATAAGGTTGCATACCTAGCAGAATATGAGAACGGGTCAGAGATAGAAGGAAACAACGCACCTGGCTTCCAGTATCAAGCTCATTAAGCATAGTCCCCGTCGCAGTATTCCAAAACCTGATATGCTTGTCCTGAGTCCCACCTCCGGTAGCAAGAACACCAGAAACATGAGGGTCCCATGCCAACGCCTTGACGGCCGCCGTATGCTCATGAAACTTCCACAACGGAATATCTCCAGGCCCACCATCCTCCATGATAACCCCCGGCACTGGCCTCCCTGCATTCGGTAACCCCGCCGCCGCACGTTTGGACCCGCGTAAATCCCATATACAGACTTTGTTGTCGTTACCCCCGCTAGCTAGACTCGCAGACGCAGGGCCTCCGTCACCGCTCCATTTGAGACCGCAGACTTCCTGTTTGTGTCCCTGGCACCGCTTGAATGGGCGCGTATCAGGTTCACGGACGTCGCGGTGATGAACCATCCGATCGCGGGAGCCAGAGGAGAGAATATGAGAGTTCCAGGCAATAGCGCCGATTCGTTGGCTGTGTGCATTAGGGTAGGAACGTAGAGGTTGGAGCGTAACTGCGTCGTAGACGTGCAGTGTCCCTGAAAGGGTCCCGACCGCGAGAGTGGAGCCCTATGGATACGACCTTAGTTTGCGTCGTTAATGAATTCCAAGGCAACATACCTTTTGAACCCAGGATACCGAGCTAATAGTGTCTTTCGTGTCAGCAAGATCGCAAAGTTTGGAAACAGCAGCGTTGTGAGCGGTCCAAAGATACACGCAGGAACCTAGTCCAACACCTAGTACATTGGTGCTCGACCAGTCGACTAGATTGAGATAAAAATCTTCCGCTAGTTCTGGCGCATCGAGCACACGGTACGGCGTCTTACAAACGCTCCGTAGCTGACGGCGGGGGCTTTCGAGTAGCTGACGACTCTGGGCCCGTACTGGGCTCATTGAATAGGCCTCATCAGTAGGAGTATCGAGCCGACGAGAAGGAGTGCTGGGATTGGAGTGTGAGGGTGAGCTGTAGGCGAATAAACGGCGCCGAGTGGGAGTAGAGGGCGGAACAGCAGCCGAAGTTGAAGCGACCGGGGGACGGGTAGGTGAAGAAGGCCTATGAGGCGAAGGAGGAGTGACTTCTGTGTGTAATATCGAAGAGAATAGAGCATTGGCTTGTTCTACAGCAACAATTAGTTGGAGAAAATCAACAAAGATATGAAAATCAACGTACCTTTCAACGCGTCAGATTCCGAGGGAATTATTCTATTCTTCTTTGAAGGAGTAGAAGGATCTTGTTCCATAAGATGATAGGAAGTGCGCATATCGCCTGTATCCCTCGAGGGCACAAATCTATCCCCATAATCTCTTGCAACTCTCGGCTGATCAACTGGTGAATCCGGTCCGCCGCTGCTGTCACTGCTCGTCGTTGGCCGCGAGTCCAACGAAGGGGTTGATGAGCCTGCAGAGGACACGCCAAAAATTGGATTTATCCGTTGCCGATTTCTCCGTGGCGTATCCTCGTCGTTTTCCAGCTGAGAAGCGCGCAAACGCTTGCCAAAAGGCGAGTTTTTCAATCCAGACATGATATAGATGGGTTTTAGAGCAGAAATTTGGGTAGAATCAGTGGAGGACAAGCATATAGGATGGTGGTTTATACCAGAAACGCGTCCGTCAAAAAATATCTCACGGTCCAACTGTCCACGTGAAACGTGGAAAATACAACAAACCTCGTCCCGCGACGTTCCTCAAATAATTCAATCCTCATTATCGTCCGATGATGATCAGACAAAAGCGCTTTGACCAAGGGTCCCAAATTTGGAAATCACCGCGACAGAACAATGACTCTCGCCTTCATTGTTCGACTCATAAGGTATATATACATGCTAGATGAGAAATGTACATGCGTTGACCGTAGATATCGTGCGTGCATAAATAACCAAGAATAGTGTCATATATCCTGCATCGCCCTGCATCCTTCATCCCTAGTAAATATCATCGTCTTGCTGAAAAGACACATCAAGATCTTCTTCATCCTCAACAACAAGCCTCAACTTCGACTCTGGTCCAATACCCGCCCTTCCCACGGAATCATCAACATCGCAGGGGAATAACTGCTCCACCTTTCCATCGGGGTCCATGGAATCTTCGTCGTCGACTTCGAGGACCTGTTTAAGCTGTGCGCTACATGAAATACATATTAGCCAAAGATACATACCCCTAGAACAAAATACAGCCTACCGAGTAGGATCAATGTTAAAGTTCCTGCAGGCACCAGCGAGCACCTTGCGCAAGGTATGCTTTCGGCGAGTCATGAATTCTGCCCTTTCGTTACCAGGACCGATGATGGTAATCTTGAAACGGGGATCCTGGTCCGACGACTGCGACTGCTGAATCTGACTTGGCTCCTCGGGAACAGCGGTCGCGGATTGACTTTGGGTTAAAGCATCTATTTGTGAGAGCAAAGCAGATTGGCGGACAGTAGACGCTGAACCAGCGGTACCAAGTTTCTCCTTCTTAACAGTGACCGAGGCTTCTGCATTCATAGTGCTCGATTCACCGCGTTTGTTATGAGTAGCTTTGGCGCCTTTGGGGGCTAAACTAAAAAGTCAGAATACAAAGACGAAGAATGATCACACGAGTTGCACTCACTTTTCCCGAAAACATCTTCCTCATCTTCATCCCGTTCCGGCGCTTTCGGCAATTCCTCAATATCCTCCCACTCGCTGGAGCTGTTCTTCTTGGTAAGAACGGGAGCTTTCTCGGACTTGATAGGCGTAGCCTCAGCCTCCTGCGCATCGACATCGAAAACTTCTGGTTCCGGTTCTTTTGCTTTCCCTTTCGTTTTAGTTTTCTTCGGCGAGATATGATTATCCACGGGGACATCGTCATTAAACAAGTCGTGTGGATCGACGGATAGAGCTCGAGAGTCTGAACCCGTCGAAGCAGGTTGGAGATCGGGAGAGAAGGTTTTGGAGGAACCTGAGCTGTTGGATGGGATGAATAAGGGTGGCTTGGATAACGGCTTGGCGGGAGAAAAGGTCCGTGGTTTTGAAGCTTCACCGCCAGTCGATACAGGAGAAGGCTTTGCTTTGCCTTTGCCTTTGTTGTTAACTATGATTGTCTGGATTTCATCTGTACGAACAAGGTCAACATGGATTTAGCAGAAAAACCACGTATGTCGCTTACCTTCTTCATCCTCTTCAGCCACTGCACTGGTATCGATTTCCATGTCAGTAGCTTGGTCTATGATAGATAGTTAAGATACATCCGAACAAAGCTCATATGAGTCTTACCCTCTCCAGACGCAGGTTCAACTGCAATCAAAACTTCATCAAGATACTGTCTTATAAGTGGATATGCTGTATCATCAATCTCAAAACGCTCGCGAGTTTCTCTCGTTGGTGCGCGTGTTTGGAAGATCGGTACAGAATTTGCTGGGATGTTGAATTTGCGTTTTACAATGCGTACGAGCTCCTGTGTGGAAGTAGTAAGAAGGGTCCTTCAGCTGTAAGTACTTGGAGGGAAACGTACATTATAGTCTTGGGGAGTGGCCATTAGCTTTCGTTTGGTGCCATGGGTAAAGACGGTTACGGGAACATTCTCGCCAGTATCGGGATTATTGTCGGATAGAGACTTCCAATGCATTTCAATCGAAGAGTAGATTGGACTGTAGAAACTGGAACTGGATCGACTGTAAGAAGAACAAAAGCAAGTCAACTGTGACGTCGTGACAGGCGCCCACATGTGACCTGACTTACTTAAGGGCCGGCTCCGAAAAGAAGGGCCTTGTCGTTTCTTTGCTTCCTACTACCACTTGCTAATTCCTCAATCATAATGCCAGCGAAATCTTCTACAAAAGCTATTACTCCCTCCTCTCAACTACGTGAAACCGACCCCTCCTCCGGCAACCGCAAACGTCGAGCTGAAGACGACGATTTCGACGCTTCAAAATCGCAGATTTACGACGAACACGGTAAAACCAGAAGAATCAATCCTTTCAGTAGGTCACAATAACGTTTTTCTTGGCT